ACTCCCCCATCTATTCTTTCCCCCTTATATTTTGTTTTTCAATTATAATTACTCGTGATTCCATCACACCTCCTCTAAACATATCTTTCATTTATTTGTCCCATTTCGCACTCCCTTTAGCATTGCACCATGAACTCTTTTTGTCATTTGATCTCTCCTGTTCTCTACCTTTATTACTTGCCTAACCTTGAGCGCTTCTCAACAACTACCCATCCCTTTCCGAGGTAAGGTCACGGACCAGAAACACACACTGATTCTCTCTCCACAGACGCTACCAGACATGTTGAGCATTTCCATTATCTTCTGCTGTCATGCAAAGTACTGATCTTTCCTGAAAGTTGGACTTCACAGTAATTAAATCCATCTGGTGCTCTTTAATTAATTAAAATCAGAACACTTTGTAAACCAACTAAAGCCCTACAATTTTTATCAGATTTTCAACTGTAATTTTAGCTGGATTAACGTTCATTTGATTAAGAACACTCAGGCTGTAATTAAGGGCTTCTGTAAATTAGGTGGGAAATTACTCACAGATTTAATTACTTTCTCTTTATACCATCTGACAGGATTAGAAAGAGAGAGAGAGGAGGGGGGGGCACAGATACAAACCAGATCTCTGCAGTTTGTACTTTGGTTTATACACTATGATCAATGCCACCCGCTCTAAAAGCAAATGCTGATCCCAATGAACCAAAAGCAAAGGAAGGTTAGTAACAGGAACAGGCTTGGAATTAATGGTTGTGAGAAGGACAGTACCATGTGGCATTCTTGTTCATAAAGACACCTAGGAGCTAGCAATTCTTCCAAAAGCCGGGGGAGGGAAGACAGAATTGTAGTCAACATTGCCAGAAAGGAGCAGAAAAATGGGGAAAAAAAAGTCTTCCACTTGTCAGACCATTTCATTATGCCCTGTAGTGAAAGCCCCTCTGCTTGTTAGTAAACATGATTGACAGGATCTGAATTCCATTGACCAGTTTCCTGACAAAAGCAGAGAGACCAGCTACTGTGGGCCAGATAACCTCATTCAGTATTTAGACTTGCACTTCAGAACACGGGAGAGGTGGAGTTCCACCACTCCCATTCAATTAAGATCAGCTCAAACAGGCAAGTTCTCAGCTCAACTGGTGGCCGCAGCATATGGTGTGTCAAGGAGTTCCATTCAACTGCCTCCTCACGTTGCTGCCACCTTGCAACAAATGGACCATGGCAGTTCAAGAAGGCAGCTCACCGCCACCTTCTCAAGGGCAATAAATATGAGCCCAGTCAGCGACGGGGTGAATGAATCACAGATGATAGTGTGCTCTTGGGAAATAAAGCACTGGGTTTTAAGAGTTTCATAGAGTAATACAAATAATTTAATAACAGACAGTAAAGGCAGTTGATAAAGAAAAAAGGGACAAGTAGATAGAGTTCACAGCCTTACTGAAAGTAGCATCAAATCTGGAAGGGTTTTCCAAAACAGCTGTGAAAAAAAAGGGCAATTTTCAACTATTAATCAAATTGTTGTTTATTTTCTTATGGATAGAAAGACATGTGGAATAGTGAAGGATTCACTAGCTAATTTGCTGTCTGCCAGGGTGGCATACCGTAGTTTTGACATCTTCACATTCTTTCTTCACAGAACAGTGTAGTGAACAGATTCACAGGCTAACACAGGACACATTGTGATGTGAATGCTCCTTTCATTGCTGTAACTATCTTTATTGAAGCTAATTGGAGTGCTAAAGCAGGTTTTTTTTCATGGGCTTCCAGAAACCACACAATTCTAGTGGTAGGAGCTTTGGTGGAGGGGGGGGCGGTGCCCAGAGGGAAGAGGTGCTCCACATACCCATCAACAAGAGTATCCTACTGGGTGCCAACCGAGATCACAGTCAGAATTCCCAACTGCCTGCAGCAGAGATCAAACCCTGCATTCATCACTCATTGAAAGCAATACTGTCATTGAACCAAAGTGGGGAGGCGATGGTGGTGTTATCGCTGGACTGTTAATCCAGAGACCCCAGTAATATTTTGGGGACCTAGATTCGAATCCTGCCAGGCCTAACCAGCTATGCCCCCACCTCATGAATGGATTAAAAATAAGACAGATCCAAGTCAACTAGTGTCAATAATACTGGAGAGATGCTGGGATTTTCCATATCCTTCAAACTGACAGATAAAAGGAGGTTCAAGGACAAGTGGTCAAGTAAAGTTCCAAGAGAGGAAAAAATCTATTTCTTTTGTGAACTCTGTATGGGTAATGCATAAATCAGAATTCTGAAAATTGAACATATTCTTCATTGTTATATGCTAGACACTGCAAAAGGGGTTAATGAGGTAAAGCATTGATTATGAAAAGCAATTTCCAGTTAAATTGTTTCAGAGATAGCAGGAACTGCAGATGCTGGAGAATCTGAGACAACAAGAAGTAGAGCTGGATGAACACAGCAGGCCAAGCAGCACCTTGTTAGCCAGTTAAATTGTAACATGATTGTAATGTTCTATTAAAATGCCAATTCAGTAAAATCCAAAGAGCAAGGGTCTGCAGATGAAAGTATCAGTGATGGCAAAAATTAAAACCCACCCCAAGAGACTTTTAATATTGTCTTCCCCTGTTAAGAGCTCAGCTCTATTGACAAAGCCTCAAAACACAATCACCAGTTCAGAGTTCATTTCCATCACATTAACATTCTCCCTTTCATCCCAAATATACCAAGTAATGAAAGAAACACTTGAGAATTCCTGCCCAGATCGGAGATTATTTTTATTGAAGAAACAAGGTATAATTGCATGTTTTATACATATGCTCGCAGACACACACAAAAGCTTCTGTAGACAGTAATCACTGGTATTGATCTTATCTACAGCACAGAATGCTTGGCTGGTTTACCCCCACGTTTAATCGAAGTGTCAACAATATTTCTGACAAATCCAACTCAATGTAAAACAGCCAATGACAGCAGTTGCCTTTGTTTGGGACTTGCACACAACAATTTTCTCATCGACACCAAGCTGAGGATGGATGCTGTGTAGAGCTACATGAACACAGCATTCACTTTAAGAAGTGCCATTTCCGTAGCTCTCTCTAAAGCAAAAAAAAGTTTCCTCAGCAGGGCCCCATCTTGTAACACAATACAAAGCACTGTTGTGTACACACTGATGTGTTTAGTTGCATGCCCATTTCTATCAAAAATCAACTTTAGTTAGGACGGTGGCCAGGGGTTGGGGGGTCCGTTGAAACAAAAAGGGACAGCAGAAAGAAAAAGAAGACAGGGCAAGGGAATGGTGGATGGAATGGATCTGACTAGGTGGTGGCTCTTAATTACCGTTCAGCAACACTTTGTTAAAGTACACGTGCAGACAGATTGCTGCAATTCATCACATGGTCAAATGGTCTACCAACAATCCTCCACTGTTCAAATATTAAGATTGGTCACTTGCAAGAGGCCTTCCTCTTCAAAAGGTAGTCTCTCAGGATAACGGTTGACTCGGTTCCATTCCAGTTCTTTGGATTCTAGGATGGCTGACTGTAACGTTCAATGATTCAATGGTTTTTAGTAGTGTTAGTCTGTTGATTGATCTATGTTTACTGCATTTGATTGAATAAACCTGGGGGCAGCTTCCAGACAAAGACCCAAAACGCCAAAGTTCTGAATATATACGGAGCCATCTTGTAATTGAAGAGCATTATAAATAAACTTGTTGTTGGGAGTTAGAACTTGTGTTACCTATGCATTGTTTTGATCTAAATCAAATATATAAAAACGCACAACAAGCAAATACACAACTGATAAATCCATTGTGTAGTCTGAAGAGTCTGTCATACATGGGACAGAGCAGACTCAGAGGGCTGCGTAGATGAACTGTGGGGAGGTTTTGTGCACTCTCTCCAACATCTTGACTGCATGTTCCTGATGAAGTCTCTGAAAAAGTTTGGGGTCTTCTGAATGAATTTTCTGATCAATCACAAGCCACAGACTCCCTTGAGTTAGCAGAGGTATTTGACCTCCAAGGATGCTTTGAGGACATTGCTAAAGCATTTCAGTTTTCTTCCTGGAATCTCGTGTCATAACCAAGTTCCATGTAGAACAGTTGTTTTGGGAGTTGGAAGTCAAATATCCTGACAATATGCCCTGCATTGAAATGCTAATCACTCAAAACAGTTCTACTAGGTGGGATATGTTGATTTGGACATTGCATTTGGACCACGTCCCTTGCCATTGGATTTGGAGGATTTTGTGAAGATATCACTGATGGTACTTCTTCAATGCTTTGAAATGTGTACTACAGGATGCCCGAGTCTTTGAAGTATATTGGACTGCAACAGTCGCTGCTGCCCAGTAACTTATGTCCTTAGTCAGGTTTGAAATGTTAGTCCTCAAATTTTCTTGACCTCCATCAGCTGAAGGTTGAGCTGGCACATTCAAAGAATGATTAATTTTGTCGGTCGGCACGGTGGCTCAGTGGTTAGCACTGCTGCCTCTCAGCACCAGGAACGCAGGTTCGAATCCACCATCGGGCAACTGTCTGTGTGGAGTTTGCACATTCTTCCCACGTCTGCATGGGTTTCTGCCAGGTGCTCCAGTTTCCTCCCAAGTCCAAAAACATGCAGACTATGTGAATTGGCCATGTTAAATTTCCCATAGTGTTCAGGGATGTGTTACTTAGGTGGGTTATCGGGGGGTGGGACGTCTGAGGGTTGGTGTGGACTCATTGGGCCGAAAGGCCTGTTTCCACACTGCAGGGATTCTATGATCTATATCTACCTTCTAGCCTGACTCCAAAAAGAAGGATGTGTTCCAGGATTACATCATTAATCTTAATTAATGTAAGGAGATGCTACACTGTTAGATCTAGTTGGAAGAGATACTCATTTTTCTAGGTGTTTAGTGAAAACCTCATTTTCTAATGCTTCAGGGGACTGTTGTGACCCTTTTATGACCTCACAAAAGTGTTGTGACTCCATCAACTGTGGAAGCTTATGGTATATCCTCCTTGAATTTGCCTTTCCTCAAATTTGCTACCACCATCCTTTGCACCACAGTCAAAATCAAACCATGAATCTCAAAAATGGAACAAGCACAGACCCCATCTCAATGAAGACTGGGGTTAAACATGGCTGTGCCATTGCAATAACCAGCTTCTCCATCTTCCTTGCTGCATTACTACACCTCACCTGCAGGTATGGAGGTAATCTACTACTCAACCTATGCTGCTTTCAATGCAAAACCAAAATCACTCCAACTTCAGTCACTGGGCTCCAGTACGCAGATGGAACTGGGGTGCATGTTACTCAAAAACTAAGTTATTGTCATTGTGACAGGTAATGAAGGACAACCAAGACAAGTAGAGTTATAATCAATAATTGACAGTTACAAAGTGCCTATAACACAGCAAAAGTTTGCAAGAGAAAACTGACATAGACGTGACACTATGAAACTGATCAAAAGCTTGGTCTACAATGCAGTTTCAAGGACACACTCAAAAAGAGAATACAGTAAGCAATTTGAAAAGATTCAGAAGGAAATTTTTAAGAGTTCAGGGCCTCCACAAACCAAAGTTAGTGGGAGGGCTCAGGATCTTGTTATGCAATAAACTACGTAATAGACTGGAATTGGAGGACCAAAGTTCTCAGTGGGAGGTAGGGCCAGAGGAGCTGGTTGGTGAGATAGTGTGGGTGAGGTCATGGAATAATTTAAACACAAGAACGAGGAGAATTTCAAAATCAAGTAATTGACAGTGAGAGATCCAATGTAGGTCAACGAATATGATTGGGTTTGGTTGGTTGGCTGGCATCTTTCCAGCCAGAAAGGATAATGGGAATGTAATTTCAGAGAAGTCCAGTAGCATAATATGTGGCACCTCCCAGCTGATCAAGCTGATTCTAGGAATGCAAAGTCTCTCAGAAGTGATAGAGGACACTCTCCCTTTCGGATGAAGCAGGATGATCTCTGCTGATTCCTTGCTCGCTGGGCTGATAACTGTTTGGAGCTTCTCAAACCACATGTCACCATGGAACAACTTCCATGCAACTTGGTGCAAGTTAAAACCTGGGGAGATCAAAAATATGGATGAGCTCAAGTTTATAAAGGGTGGAGGGGCAGGAGACTGACCGGGGAGCACAGGAGTCATCGTGTTAAGACATATTGGAAAAATGGATGGAGTTACAGCAATAGATACACTAATGCAGAGGTACAGACAGATGATAGTAGACATAAAAGTTCACACTCTTTGTGATAGAGAAAATGTGGAGTCAGACGTGTAGCTCAGGTGAAATAAAATTGAGAACTGTCTGGTTTAACTAGAGACAACAGGCAGGGAGGGGGATGGAATCACTGACTTGAGGAACAACTAGGGTCAGTAACTGGAAGTAGAGAATAAAATCAATCCTTACTGCACTGTAGAGACTAGGGATAGAGATCAGCACATCACAAGCATATTATCCAGCCAGGTGCAAGCTTTGCTTAAAATAGTCTGTACACAGAGGTCACTTGATTCCCTTAGTCCAAGACAATTCCTACAAATACGTTTCAAACAAAGTATGAACAGGAATGCTGCAGAAAGTTTCTTTATTTTAAACACAGATGGGAGGAGAAAGCAGAATTTAAGAAGTGGATTTTCTTTTGTTGCTGACAATTCTTGAAGCTGCCATCCTTAGAGACAGCAAGCTCAAAGCCTGAATAATTAAAACAAATGTCGGGGGTGGGGGGTTGGGAATCATCTTTATGGAGATCAAAATGGAATTTTAAGTAATAATTTGCTCATTATAATTCAGAGGAAGCAGATCTCAGTGTCAAAGTGCATAGGTAAGGGGAGAATAAAATTGCATTTATGTAGCACCTTTCATGACCCAAAGCAGTGTAAAACAAATGAAGTACATTTGAAACATGGCTACTATTTTAATGAATGAAACACAACAAACCATAGTTGCAGCCTCCTGTGTTGCCTGTTTGATCCTGTTTTATCAGCCACCTAAATTAGCCCTTACAGGGGGATAAGTATTTAGCTAAATTTTGTTTCACTCTGGACTATCTGCTATAAACAGCTGCACATATGGAGGACATTTGGCTTGTTGCTCCTATGTCAATTCGGAAAAAGCTATCTAGTCAGTTCTATTACTTTGCACTTTCCTAATAACCTTTTGATCTTTTCCCTTCAAATGTTTATCCACTTTCCTGTTGAAAGTTATAAATGAATCTGTTTCCACCATCCTTTTAAGTAGTGCATTCCAGATCGTAATTCACTGCGCGCGCACACAAAAAAAAATCGTTATCTCACCTTAAATCTGTGTCCTTTGGTTACCACTGAAAACCATTTTACTGCACTGTCAAAATCTTTAATAATTTTGAACACCTCCACTAAATCTCTTAAACTTTTCTGCTCCAAGGACAGCACTTCTAGCTTCTCTCTTATTATCCCCTCATAAGTGAATCATAGCATTCCAGTATATCTCCTTTGTACCCTCCCAGAAACACTGACATCCTTCCATAAGTATGAAGGCCACAATACTCCAGACAGCAACCAGAGATCTGTGATGGCTTAGTACATCTTCCTTGCTCTTGTAAGCTATACCTCAGTTTATAAAGACATGGAGCCCGTGTGCATTTTTAACAGTTTTCTTGACTTTGCGTCATCTTGAAAGGATTGCGTATGCATATCCCCAGGTGTCGGTGTTTATGAACTCCTTTCAAATTGCACTATTTAATGTATATTGTCTCTCCACATTCTTCCTGCCAAAATGCATCCATTCACACTTCCCCACATTAATTTAATGTGACATGTTCATTTTGCCAGTCTAAGTTGTCCTCAAATCTGTAACAATCCAGCTCACCGTTTTACCACTTATAAATGTAATGCCAGGTAAAAAATTTGAATTCATGCTCTGCATAGTCACATTCGGATAATTAATAGATACATCCAACAGAGCAGTGGCGCCTCTATGAACCCAGAGGGAATACGACTGTATATTTCTTCCTGGCTGAGAAATAATCTTTCACTACTATTTGGTGCTTTCAATTTGCTGTTACGGCTCCTTTAATCTCCTGCATTTAGTTTTGTTAATCAGTCTATATTGCAACAATTTATCAAAAATATTTTGAATATCTATACACATACCAGCCCAAGACACTTGCATCAACCCTTGCATTACTTAATTAAAGAATTCAATAAAGTTAATCGAACAATTTTCTTCTCAAAAATTTACACTGGCTACCATTAATTAACTCATTTTTCCAAGTGACATTTAATATTGTTTGGATGATCGTCTTTACACATTTTCCCAATACCCTTAGGCTGACCAGCCTAGAGTTGCTGGATTTATCTGTCCTCCTCCCCATTTTCAAACAGGACTTAAAATTCACCGCCTTCCAGTTCACTGGCACTACTCCCATATCTAAGGAAGTTTGCAGCTTCACAGTCAATCTCCAACCTAATTTCATTCAGCAGCTGAGCAAGTGACTTTCTCTACTTCAAACACTGCCAACATTTTAAAGTGTCATCTCCTTCTACTACCCCCTCCACTATTGCAATGCTGGCAACATTCTCCTCGCCAGTAAAAACAAATGCAAACATGTAGTAAATTAGCCATGCCCAATGCCTCCGCAAGAACATATTTTTGTCACCTAGTCAGTCCCAGCTTTCTTTTAAAATACTCTACTATTTGTTTGTAAAAAGACTTTTGAGTTTCCTTTCATATTATCCATTAATCTGTTCTCATTCTTTGTCCCATTCTCCCCTTTACTCTCTGCATTAAGCTCAGCTTTCTTTCATGATATCAATCATAAGCAAATTTACAGTTGAACTTCAGAAGAATACCAGAACACCAGAGTAGAAGTAATGAGTTATTCTAATTATCATAATAACAACTGGGATAGCAACAGTGTAAAAGAACAGAGGTGGCAGATAAACTGTTCACAGTCCAAAGAGAAAATAAGTGGTATGGTTCAGAGAATGCAGTGGGACAAATGGAGCAGTTTCAGTGGGGGAGCACTTCAGAAACAGTGATCACAATATCTTTCTCTGTTTTCTCTGTGAGAAGGTTGGAAATTGACATGGGGTGGTCAATTCTGTGAAAGATGAAATTCAACTGTGTGGACGTATATTTTGGATCATTAAAAAGAAAACTTACTATACTTTCACAATGTGAAATTCAGGTGTCCATATACTCAAAGTATTAAAAACTAGCTCACAAACAAAAAGAGTAATCAAAAAGGCTAATGAAATGTTGGATATGACCTCAAAAGGGACTTAGAACATAAAACGGTGGAAATGATATTTCAATTATAAAAGTCTTCATGCAGTCATGGGTATCAAGCTTCAGGATACATCCCATAGTCACCAGAATTATACCATTATGACAACATGTCGCATTACCTGTGTGTGCATTTTTGTATTTACATAGTTGACAGGTGATCTAATTTTAAAATGAATCAGGGATTCAAAAAGTAAATACACAGTAACTATTTCTTCTAGTTGGACAATCCACCGCTGGAAGCTGGAAACCTAAAATTAGAGCCAAGCTATTTTGGAATGTAATAATGAAGTTTTGCTTTCTACAAAGTATGATAGAAAAATTGAACTCTCTCTTTAAAAGATGCTGAGACAATTGAAAATGTCAAGATGGATATTAATAGACTACATAACATTATCAAGGGCTGTGGGACAAAAGGTGGATAAATAGATTGGTGGTACAACTCAATCATGATCTAATTGAATGGTCGAACAGGCTTGAGGGGCTGAATGGCCTACTCCAATTTCTATGGTCTCCAGTGGTTAGAGTCTAGAGAACATAATTAATAAACAACCATACAACTATGAATTTATTCTGCTGGTGAAGGAATAGACACCTAAAAAGCACAGTCAAAATTACCCTTTTCCGCAGGAGGTATTTACATTTCAGTGGGTACAGGTAACACACCATTCCGGCATGTTAATAGTCTAAGTTTACTGGCCGTGCATCCAAGAACAACACTGGATTTCAAAGGACTAGATCATTAGAGAATTGCGTGATATTAGAACTGGTCAAGTAGTCAACAGGCCTCAATTGAGTCAAGGTAAAAACACAAATGTTTCTGAAGTGGCTCCACTAACAGTTTGTCAATGCATTCCACAACATAGCCTCAGCTGATGCTGTCCTTGTGACTGGCTTTACACATAGGCTAAAATGCATTCAGGTATAAAAGGTAAATTATGAATGCAACCAACAATATCCACTGAATGGCCCATTAGTTAACTGCACTTAGGATATGGAGGTTTGTATTGTATTAGTAAACACACCATCTATTAATTGATTTTTTTTGTCTAGTTGCATCCAGATAAATACTTGAATCTCATGTTACTTAGATTACAGTTTCCAGATTTCATGGAAATGCATCAATTTAACTTTTTCTTGTGAAAATATGTTTCAGGGATTATCTTGAGTTAGAAAATTTCTAAAATACATTGCACAACAGCGTAATTAAGGCATATTTAGCTTGAATTCTCAGAAGTAGACTCCTGAACCAATTGAGCGCTGACAGTACCAAATCCAGATCCCTTACTAAAGCAGCAGAGGATTTTTGCCACCGAGAGCAATGAGATTCACTTAACAACTAAAAGGAAGTTCAGAGTGTAAGTATTCCAAACACTTGTACATTAAGAACATTCTGGGTGAAAACATTATAACTGACATTACACAATCAATGAAAAGAACGTCAAAGGTGTATAAACATTCCAAATCCTCAAAGACACTGCTCCAGTTATATCCCAAGTACAACAGTGACATATTGTTATCGCATTAACCTTTGATGCATCACAGAAAGAAACCCTGCATTCCTATTAATTGTCAAATTATGAAATGAATGGTAAAAACTGAACTCAATGCAAATACCCACGGGATGGACACATTAATCAAGCCACTGGCCATTATTTAATCACGTGTTTGATCTACTAAGGTATCAGATGAACCACTTGTGAAGTCATGAATCCCAGTACACGAATGTCTATAATGCATCCGCAACTTCCAAGCTTGACAGGACACAGTTAAACAGAAAGAAAGAGCTTGTACTTGTACTGCACCTTTCATGATGCTAGCATATTGAACAGAACTTTACAGATAGTGAGATATCACTTTGAAGTATAGTCACTGCAGTAGGAAATTATGGCAAGCATTTTACAAAGTGATCTGAGAAACTACAATAAGATTAATGACCAGTTGATCTGTTTATGTGATGTCACTTGAGGGTGATAGATAGCAGGTAGGACATCAGGTGAACTCTTCCAATCTACTAAGAAAGTAGCAGGGGGTCCAAAAGACAATTGTTCTTTAATAAAGCCCAACAAAAATTATGGCTTGAGGCGTTCAGTAACTGGGGGACTGTGCTGACAAGGCACACTGCAAATTCAATTAGCTGATCTTTGTTGGAGCAATGGTTGAGTTGATGGTCAAGCGATTTGTTAGGTAGCATTTGGTATGCCACATTCACCTCACAAAGGAGAGATTGGTCGTCAAGGCTCTTGGCAGTCAATTCAGGGTCAAATTTTTGCAATATTATGAATAGCAAGATATTTAATTAAATCTTGCATATATGTTACTAATAACATAAGCCAGTTCGAGCACCTCTAATGTGTTCATCATTCTGCAGCATGGAAAGTAAATAAAGGTGCATGTGCAGATGAGAGACTGAATGACTACACAAGATCCTCAGAGTGCCTTGGCCAGCTGAGGGGAAACTTCTGATCATAAGATCATGCAATCTACATAAAGAGAAACATCACTTATGTTCAATTAGTGAACATGTCTAGCAAAGTCTCAAATTTTTTTCTAAGTGAGGACCAGGATTATAAATCAACGTATCTGGAAGGGGTGGGGGAGGGGCACGTTGGAAACTATGGGGGAAAACTTCAGATTAGTAAAATGTTTGGGGTCCTACTTTGCTCTTTACTATCAACTTAATCTCGAGCTACTGTTTGTGAAGTTCAAGTTCTCTCTGGCCTTATTCCAGACTACAGCAAGGTTAAAGAGACCTTGGAAAAATAATATAACCCAACTGTTGACCGCATAATTGGACAGCCAGTATGTTACACGTGCCATTTCTTATTTATCACACCCATGATAAACAAAAGACTTTTCTTTGGTAAAAATGGAGGTGCTGAAGCAATTTTAGCAACAATTTTAAGTTTGATACATTACAGGTCAGCACAGGCTTTTTTTTAATAGCGACATTATAATTAACGTAGCTTTTTTGCATAGGGTTATGGGCCACTGTATAGAGTAGTTGGAGCAACATCAAGTATACTGAACACGCAGCCCGCTGCTATACAAAGGGGTCGACTTTTCACTAATGGTACATGCCTCGATAATAAAAGGAGTGCATCAAACCCAGAAACATAGAGGACACCTGCCAACAAACTGCAACTACTGAAAGGAATTGAAGCAGACATGCGCAAAGACGACTAATGCAAAAAAAACATACACCGAGACAAGTCACGACAAGAAAACCCATCTGCCGGCAGGTTTACACTGCTGCAGGAAGGAAAGCGTTTTGTTTCCTGTCTGTACTGTAATGAGCCCTCCCTGCACCCAATCCCGCTCAATGTCGTGAAGCAAAGTGCACACACCAGTGCCACGCTTCACACAAGCCCCAACTCCTGAAAGTCAAATCCAAAGCGCGACACGAGAAGAAAAACTCCCCTGTTGTCCGTGAAGCTGGAAATGAACACTTCAGCAGTTCATTTCCACGCTTTGGCTGTCTTCTGCAGCCCACAGCACAAATGAAGTGTCTTCAAAATTAACTTTCACTGGGGCATATGCCAGAAGTCTCGTCATTTGCATGTATGCATTAAACCCCTTGTTTAGAATTAAGACCTCTGGCTATAGCCTATGTTGAGGAATGCAGTCAATTCTGGGCACGAGCTCAGGAAGGATACATTGCCCTTGGACTGGGTGCAGTGCAGATTCATCAGAATGATAAATCATGCAGACAGTTTGCAAAGTCTAGCCTTATATTCCCTTATATATAGAAAATAACGGGCTGGTGTAATTAAGAATTATTGATGAATTAATTATCTGAATCGGATAACTAACAGCTTTGATAGCGAAAGAAAATCCAGGATAAGGTGACCTAATTCTAAAATAATATGTTCTAATCAGGGATGAAACCAGGAAATCATCTTCAGACAAGGGTGTAGTGAAAATCTGGATAAAACCTCCCTCAAAAAGATACTGAGGCTAGGTCGACTGAAAAATTCAAAACTGAGACTAATATGATTTTTATTAGGCAGGAGCATTACGGGACATGGAGACAAGATGGGAAAATGGGGTCACTATACAAATCAGCCACGACCTATATGAATGACAGACAAAATTTGAAGGGTTGAATGGCCTACTCCTGGTCCTATGCAACTCAATGATAGGCATTTTACTAGCTAATACGTAATCCCTCATCACAAAGTAAAAACCGACAGAACTGCAGATGCTGTAAATCAGAAACAAAAATAGAAATTGCTGGAAAAGCTCAGCAGGTCTGGCAGCATCTGTGAAGAGAAAGCAGAGTTAACATTTTGGGTCCGAGGAAGGATCACCGGACTCAAAACGTTATCTCTGACTTCTCTCTACAGGTGCTGCCAGACCTGCTGAGCTTTTCCAGCAACATTTGTTTCTGTCCCACATCACAATGCAGCTGCAAGTGAATACCTCTTAAATGGGCAGTAAAGAGGAGTAATGTCATCATGTTTGCATAGTCTGTCAATATTCACTTCTTTGGGAGGGGAAAATCTTAAATAAATGATTTAAGGTGCAACCATATTAGGACTGATCAGACTAATTGTTTAGACCACAAAAATAAAAATGTCTTATTTCAATTATATATAACCTCAGTGAGGCTGCACTTGCGAGTATTGTTCTGAGGAAGGGTCACTAGCTGAAACATTAACTCTGATTTATCTCCACAGATGCTGCCAGACTTGCTCAGCTTTTCCAATAATTTCTGTTTTTATTTGTTTTTGTGCTTGGAGTATTGTGTACAGTTTTACTCTCCATAATTAAGGAAGGATAATTATTTTCAATCAACATGTTCATACATGTTATGACACACCTACCGGGCAGGTGGGGCTTGAAGCCAGACCTCTTGACCCAGAGGCAGGATCTCATTGACATGCAAAATTCCTGCAGGGCTGAACAGGGTAGATGCAGAAAGGATGTTTTCATCGGCTGGGGAGGATTGGTCTTGAACCAAGGGACATAGTGTCAGAATAATATGTAGACCATGTAGATCTGAGACAAGGAGGGTCTTTTTCACTCAGTAGGTGGTAAATCCTTTATATTCTGTGCATCAGAGATCTGTGGAAACTCAGTCATTCAGCCTGTTGTAGACAAAGATCAGTAGATTTCTTGATATTAAAGACATCGAGGGAAATAGGCACAGTATGGGGAAAATGAGCCAAGGTGGGTCCAAGTGAATGGCAAAACAGATTCAAGAGCCTGAATGGACTACTCCTGCTCCTATTTCCTACATTCCAATTTCTTGGAATTGACTTTAGAATAGTTTACCTGAACAGGACTCTTATCAACGTTTTATTCTTTTCAAACCAATCACAGAACCATAGAATGATACAGCACAGAAAGTGGACAATGACCTACACCAGTTGTTTTTTGGAGCTATCCAATTAACGTCATCCTCTTAGTCTTCTCCCATTGTACTGTAATTATTTTCCCCTTCAAGCTTTTATCTCGTTTTCTACTGAATATCATGACCGAATCAACTTTCATTACCTGTTAAGACAGTGCATTCCAGATTGGAAAGCCTTTCCATGTTAAAAGAAAATGTTTCCACTTGTTATCTCTGATGCCTTTGCAAACCATGTTCAATTTGCATCCTCCAATTAGCAATCCATTTTGCCACTGGAAACAATTTCTTCTTATTTACTCTCATAGCCATTTATGGTGCCTCTCTCTTCAAAAGCTTAGCTTCCTTAATACCCAGAATTTTAACAATACTCCAGCTAAAGCCCAACTAATATTTTAGATAGGTTTAGCATCACACCCTTGTTTTGTACTCTATTCCTCTGCTGATAAAACCAAGAATTCCACGTGCTTCTCATCTTCTTTTACCATGCTCAAAATGTGTACATACACCACAAGGTTCTCATTTCCTAAGTCCTTTTCTAAGACTGTACTGTTTACTTCATATCTCCTCATTCTTCGAACCAAAACACACTTATCTGCATTAAAATGTCATCTACTTATTTCACCAGTTTATCTTTCCCTGAAAGTTTCTGCTGTTCTTCTCATTGTTTGCTACACATCTGATTACATTTACTGCTACATTTCATAATTTGAAAACCTCTCCCCTCCTTTTCCCTTCCTAATTTCCTAGATACAGCAACAATGATGCAGAACTTCCAGGTCCTGGTAGCTGCAAATCAGGAGGCATTCTCAGCTATTGAAGGTTGCAAGGCAATCAGAGGTTTCAGGGTGTAACTTACACTGGAACTCCAACAAAAACAGAAGTTGCTGGAAAAGCTCAGCAGATCTGGCAGCATCCGTGAAGAGAAATCAGAGTTAATGTTTAGAGTCCAGTGACCCTCAGAACTATAGCATTTGCAGTTCTTTTGGTTTTTACTGGAACTCCAATCTTCCTGTTCACTAGAAATGGCTCCAATGGGACTTGTCAATGAGTAAACCAGGGCTGTTTATCCAGGATATACCTAGATTACTTTTTTAAAAAACCCTGAATGGTATAATGCTGTTCTCGGTAAGTACAGATGCAGGGATGCAGTTGAAGAAACTAGAGTAAAAATTGATTAAAAATTAGCTTTAAAACACTTGTAAAAACTGAACTGAAGGTAGACCTCAAGGGCACAGTTTTGCCTCAACGACCTGTTGCCATCAGGCCACGTATTTCCTCTCAATAATTGATCCATGCTGAAGACACAACAGAAAGCTTCCCACTGTAGCTGATGTAAAAGCTAAGAATGCAATTTAAAATGGAGTTGACAGTGTAAGCTACTGCATTGTTGCTGACAGGAAGATTTGGGCCATTAATCTCCCGATCATTCCTTCCTTGAGCCAGAGACTATAATCAGTGACTATAGCATTCTCCCTTTCTGTTCTCTTGCAAGATTCGTTACTCTGTAACCATGCCACTAATAACGATGCTTATAAATCACTAACCCCTTCCAAAAGACAACGAAAATTAGGCCATAAATGCTAACCTTGCCAGTGTTGTCCAGATCTCAACAATGAATACTTCAAAAAAAAAGCTGCCTGGAGATGTGCAACTGTGGCAAAACCTAAGGACTTACTTGTAGAAGTACCCAGCCTCCATTCAGTGTTTACCAACAGACAGGCCAACTGAAAGCTGGCAACAACTCGTGACTGACCCTATATCCCATTACCGCAGGACATGTGTTACTACACAAGGGGTTCCTTATCATTTTCAACAGCTGTCAAACAACTATTAGAGAATATTCACAGAACCACAATAGATTCTTGTATTGAGAATTCATCACTGTATGTATTAATAAACAGCACCATGTCACCAATAGTTACAAATCTGAAATACTGTGCTTGCACAGTCAAAATTCAGAAGTCGCTCTGCTCAGTCAGATTCATCATATTGGGTACGATAATTATATTGAAGTTGTTAGTTAAAAATAAATTAAGCAACAATTTTTTTCTTTATCAACAACTCAAGTTAACTAAGGTTCATTTAAAATCACAAGCCTTTGGAGCACTGTTCCTTCATCAGGCAACAAAGAAGCAGCTCTCCAAAAGCTTGTGATTTTAAATAAGCCTGTTGGACTACACCTGCTGTCATGAGACTTCCAACACTGGCATCTCCATATCAAGTTCACTAAGTTTTTGTAGAAACTATTTGGGTTCCAATCATCATAAAATAACCATGTTTTGGACAGTGGGAGTTTAAAAAAGACTGTAAAGTTACATAGCACTTAATATGACATTATTGCTGAACTTCCAGTCAGATTTACATTTATTAGAGTAAATCTGATAGGAGAGCATCATTTGTCATTTACTTAATGTACACTTCCATTAAAAGTGCTCCATAACATTCACCTTTGTTGTTCAAGGATCTCTGACACAATGGAAACAACCTTACAGCTCTTCAAATTGAAAACAGGTTTTTCTTTGTGAAGACTTTGTCCCTTTTAAACAGTTTCAGTGTTAAACTAGGCTTGCTTATCAATATCAGAACTGTAACTTCCTCATCCAACAGTTTATTTTAGAGCAGTGGAATTCCCCTGCTGTTAGACCAGATCCGAAAATAGTTTGATTCCCAAAGTCAGTTCAATCAAAAGACTAATGTGTTCATCATCCCTGTCTGACCTCTACAGAAACAAGCTGAACAGGTTGAAACATTGGATTGTACTGATGGTCTCTCCCAGAAGTGGACCTGCTGGACACGTTGGACTGCTAAATAAATTCATCCCTACCTAGGAAAACAAAGGTGAAATGTTCAAAAAGTATTTTTAATCATAAATTAAGAACAGGTAGGAAAATGAGCAAAAAGTG